GGCAGGCACAGGCTGCCCACTGGCACAGGGTCCATCCACTGTGCGGATGCCTTTGGGCAGACAACTGAGATCCAAATCCAGCATCTCAGCCCAAGGACGGTGTTGTGTAGCGCGACGTGAGACTGCCCTTGTACAGCACGAGCGTGCACAGCAGGCTCAGCTGCCTGCCCTCTCCCTGCACCAGCCAGGAAGCCAAACCCGTGCCAAGGAGAGCTGGGCATGCCAGGCCCAGGACAGGGGTGTCGAGCTGATGTGTCTGCACGTAACGCAGCCCTTACACCCAAAAGGGAAACCTGGTAACTGAATATAGAAAAGGGGAAGCTGGGGGCAGAAGGAAGCAGAGAAGGGTTGGGAAGGGGGGCATGGAAGAAGAGGATATTAGGGAAGAGAAAGGAGGAAAAGCCATTGCCAGTGAGAATGCCTCCACGTGGAGTTAAAAAAGGGAGACCAGAAATCAGTGAAACCACCCAATAGACAAATGTCATTCCCCATTTCCCACCTTTTTCCCCCTAGTGCCCAAGAAAGGAAGGCCTGGGGTTCCTGAGGAGCAGAATTCCAAAGCCATGAGCCTGGCCCCACTTGGGCAAAAGTAAACATCATGCCAGCTCCTTTCCCACGTGTGCTCTGGCCAGAGCTTGCAGAGGCGGCAAGCACACGAGGACACCACGGTCACTCCAGCCTTGCCTCGTTCTGTCAGTGATGGCCAGCACCGGTTCTGTGCTCCCTCTAGACCTAAACTGGGAGTACGAGGCAGCAGAAACGGCACCATTCCTGTGCAAATGCAAGCAGGATCCTTCTCCTCGACAGTGGGCAAGTCCAGGCAGGCTGAGCACAGGCTCTGCTGGGATACCTGGCATGCCCCAGCCCAAAACAGCCAGGCAGCCCTGTCCTCTAGGAGCCCCTTCTCCCAGTTTTGCTTCTCCCCCTACCCCATGCTCCCCATCACTGCTCCTCACGTTGCTTCCTTCACACCTGCCTCCTCTGCCAGCCCTGAATGCAGGTTTCATTTCTCCCTGGCCCATGGAACTCACAGCAGAAGCAGGCAGTGACTTCTAGGAGCACTGGGCTATAGCTATGTCTTTCATAGCCAAATCTGACCTATGAAAGCAGCATCACCACCACCTCCCTGGCTCTCCTAGGCATGTGAGGAAGCCCTGCTAGGGCCCTGGTCACAGAACAACAGCCTCCCAGTGCGGCAGGGTTGAACATGGTGCATTTCAACTGCAGGACTGCCTACCTCCCTGAGCTTAGCAGCTTCTGCTCTGCTCCTGCCCTGTGGCCTTATTGCAGAATCCTCATACCAGGCAAGGCAAGGGCACGCGGATGATGCACAGAAGCACAATTTCCCTGAGCAAAATCCCTCTCTCCCCTTTCTCTAACTGGAAACCAGGGTCCTTTGGAACACTTCCCTGGGCAAAGAAGTCTGGTGTCAGGCTCCTGCTCAGAAATTTAGACTCCATATAAATGCTGTAGATCTGAGAGCCTTCTGAAGTCTGGTACAGTATGTTTATTCATGGCAGCACCTCTTAATCAGGAAGAAAAAGACCAAAAGCTCTACGTTTATGTCCAAACCACCTTTCTTCTCCTCAGAGCTCCAAGAAACTGTGTTGGTATAAGCACAGCCCACTCCATGGAAACAAATACTCGGAGGAGCTCTGCACTCTCTGCTCCAAACAGTTCAAAGCCAGCTTTGGTTCTTGGCAGCCTGTGTGTCTCCAGAGCTTGATATTCCTGGGGATGTTTGCTGCAGATATCTGGATACTTGGATATGTCCTCCAGGAAAGCTGAAAACTTCTGGAGCTTCGGAAGAGAGCATGCCGGGGGAAAGAAAACCTTAAAAAGGCAGTCGGTGGGCTGGCAGGACAGAGCGTGTGCCAAGACAATAAGTGAGTCTAAGAACTCATGATGTCGAAAAGGGTTTGACTGTAGAACAGCCTTGATTTCCCAAGGGATATTTTTTTTCAAGGCTTTTCTTTACATCTTTCCTAACAAATTTTCTCCAAGAATCAGGAGTAGCTGGAAAGACCTATCAGCTATGGCCTACACATGTCGCAAGACATAGCAAAGAGGCAGAAAGTAAAAAAGTGGCATGAAGCAGAGACAACCTAATACACCTGTGGGCTGCAGGCAGCACTTAAACTCCTTGGAGGAGCTCAGGGTCAGGCAGGGGGGCTTCTGCCTTTGTCACACTCCACCGTATCCGCTATTTCCCTTTGCTCCTAAGGAAAACCCACCTTACCCAAAGGAGGAAAGAATTAATTAATTCTGCTTCTTAAGACAATGCATGGCGTTGCCTTGTCACCCAAAGTTAAAGGGATTCCAGTAATCTCAAAAAAAAAGCACTCTCTTCTTCTGAGCAGAGGAAAACACCACACTTGCCAATATGGTCCATCTAGGGAAGGCGAGAATATGTGAGGAGCACAGAACCCCCTGGGATGGGTCACACAGGGCCTGTGCAGCTCTCTCCAAGGATGCAAATTGGGAAGACACAGGTCACATAAGGACAAAAATCACAGCAGCTCTACATCACCTGGTGACTCTTAGTCGCTAGCACCAGTGAGAAATCCAAGGGGAGCCCAGCTCGGTGCTGGGCGCCCGGCTGGGCCCTGACGCTCTGGGTGCCTCCAGCAGGATGACTTGGGATGGCTCCCTGGGTTCAGCACTAGTGTTCTCACCTTTCTGCTGCTGTTTCTGGCCAGGGGTTGTGGAGCTCAGCTCTGGAAGATTCTCTCTTGTTACAGAGGTGCACAGAGCTGGCAGCTGCAAGAATTTTGCACTAACTCCCAAATACCGGCGGGCAGAGGGTCAGCACACAGACCAGCAGATGCTGCTGCAGAGCCTGAGTCTCACCAAAGGAGCATCTATCCTTCCTGGTATAGCCTTGGCACCAGTCCTGGACCAACGCTGACTTTCTGGGTGCACTTAGGCAGGACATGCACACCAGCACTGTTGTGCACCACCTTTCAGTGTGGCTAGGTCCAATCACAACAAAACCACGTCTCAAAGACCAGTTTTCTTCTACTCAGTAATATCTCTTGGCTGCCAACATGTAAGAGCTATAAAACCCTGCAGTACGGAGAGCCACATCCCTCCAAGGCAGGCACCCCAAATGGACTATAAAGGCAGAGGAACCCTGCTTCACCCAGGGAGAAGTTCTACTCTATCCCAAGCCTGAGTACTTGAGCCTGACAACAGTAATTCCAGCTGAAGTCAAAGGAAAACACAAGGAATTGCTAAAGACAGTCAGCTGCAGCTGCACCTGCTTGCACCTAGGTGAGATGGACACAGGCACAGGACACATGCTGTGCCCCGGGCCTCAGCACGGCCTCCCGGGAAACCCAGCATCAGCTGGGATCGCATCCAGCCCCGGGCAAGTGCAGAGCGGGGCTTTGCCGTAAGGTCTCTCCCAGGAACCCCCTTCTCAAAGCCTGGAAGATCCGGCCAAAGGAGCAGCATTCACTGAGAGCCCTCCCTGATGAGGGATCCTGCCCATCCAGGCGAGGTCCTGCTCAGGGTGCCACCAAATGGCTTGGTCTCTGCTGGCAGGGCAGGGGCCACCCCTGTTTGAGGCATTATGCATGGTGCAAAACCGTGGGAGACTGGGGTGGGGACAGAAAGGGGATGGTGATAACCTCAGGAGAGGAGACAAGGCTTTTCTGCGTGAAAGACTCCATGCTTAGGGAAGCTCCATGCTCAGATGAAAAATCCTCTAGGTTTTCTTCTTACAGAAAGACACAGAAAGAGAGAGAAAGAGCACGTAAGAAGGAATGAAGGAACAGATAGATAGATGGATGGATGGATGAACAGAGATCACAGATACTCCAGTTCTAGATTCTCCATTTAGGTCTTTGAACTTTACATGTTTGCTTGTAAAACAGACATGTGCTGAAGCCTCTCGTTCCCAAACACCATGTTTTGACGAGCGGTTGTGAGCTCCCTCAGCTCCCCTCTGCTCCCACAGCCCTGGCCACGGGGAGCCCAGAGCAACCAGCTCCGTCTCTCCCAGCAGTGCTGGAGAGCAGCAAGCACACGTGCACATCACAAATCCCTGCGGAGACCCCTGCTTGAGCATCCCTCCCAGGGCCCCGAACCGTTCCCAGCAGCGATCCTTGCTTCCTCTCTTGCTCAGAGAGACCTTCCCAGGTCTGTGTGGTGGCCGTCCAGCTCTGCAGAGGTGACCACCAGTGCTGGCCCAGGGCTAGCTCTGCAGCCCCTGCGGTGGGGAGTCTGCTGAGGTGGGGAGAGCAAGCAGGAGACCTTGCCCTCTTGTCAGCCACAGTGGCACAGAGACACCCTTGCCAGGCCCCACGACACAGAGCCCAGGAGGCACCACACGGTCTGAGTCACCCAAGAGCCACCCTGCGCATCGCCCACGCTGCATCCCGCTCTCCTCCAGCGGCCTCGCGGAGGGCTCGGCGCAGCTCATCTCCTTCCTCCCTGCTGGCAGGATGATGTTGGGAATATAGGATCCAAGTGCAGCTCCTCACTGTCCCTCTTGGCCCGATGAGGCTGTCCCTCTCGCTGTGCACACCACACGGGTGCCCGGCCCATGAGGCTGCCCCGTGGCACCCTCTGTGCCAGACCTGCTCCCGCGCTCCCTGTGGGCTGCTGTAGGAGAACAGCAGCCCGGGGCACTCCCGAGCAGGACCTGGCAGTAGCAGGGTGAGAAAGGCCCCAGGCTCATAGGCCAGCGTAGCCTCATGCAGCCTGACTCCCAAAACAGACCCCAGGAGACAGATGAGAAGTTTGACCCCATGCAGTGCCTACATCGGAGGGGTGACCATCACCAGCATCATGCAGTTGGGTAGCCTATTGCAAAACTCTGGCAACAGCCCCAGTCTGAGGCTCTCTCCTCCACCCAGTGCTACCAGCACACAATTCCCACATCCCACCACACTCCCATGGGACTCCATGGGAGATGGAGAACTGGAACGTAGCAAACTATGAACGCCTCCTGATGAATAACATGGTCCCCTCCATAAAAAAGTAGCAGAACAAACCTCTCTGGCCTTCTCTGGGGTTCCCTTTGGTGTTTCATCTTCATGCTTGGGTGAGGAAGAGGCTGGTGAGGAAGGCAGCCTCCTGTCCCGATCCCTGTGAACCAGCTTGCTGTTGGGCTCCTTCAAGGTCCTTTTCAGCTCATTGATGCTGGCCTGATGCTTTAGTAAAACATCTTCTGGCTTGTCTAAAAACTTGAGGAAGGAGAGAGGAAGGTAGCTATGATTAAAGCACTGGTTAAGACAAAGGGGAAGAGCAGGGGCGCTAACGAGGGTTTGCTTCACTGGGCTTCAATCTATGGTCTCAAGACCCAACTGAACCGTTGTGTCTGAGAACCTTGGTTTGTGAGTCTCGCTAGGACCATTACAGGGAGCAGTGGCAGAATGGACATACCTGGTTTCCCTCCATGAAGGGCAAAACATGCCCCTTTGGCATCTCGAGTATGGCTTGCTGAGGACAAGCCAAATCAGGAGGGGGCAGGAGGGCTCCTTGAGATCAGCATGGGGCACTGGAAACAACAGCAGCCTCATGTCTCTTGGCTCCCTCCAGGCTGGGCTGCTCCACAAGGCACAAAGGAAGCAAGACTCCCACTCTAACTCAGTGGGGCAGGAGAGCAGCCAGTCCTCCCAGCAAGAATTTTTGGGCCTCTCTCATTGCTATTTGTAATAGGGCTCCCTAGAAGTGGATTCCTGTAAAGCCAAAGTCAAAGATGTCTGACGTGGATCCAAACCTAAATCAACACAGACCAACTTAGGCTCAACAGCAGTCCAGGCGTGGGGTGGGGTCTGACTTGCCATAGAGAAAACAGCTCTGATATAGCTCAAGTGCAAAGTGAGATGTGGGGTTTAGAGCATCTAGAGCATTTAGAGCATGTTAGAGGCACCAGGATACCTCCCTTGTTCTGCATAGGGGTGGGCAAAGCAGCTCCAAACAACAACTCACCCTGACTTCTGTCTCAAGCTCAAACCTGTTTTCAGGTTCGAAAGGAGTCAACTAAAATAACTTTCCTTCCCATTAGTTCTCCTGAGTGCCACAGCCACAGACCTGAGACCCAAAGCAGTCTTGTGAAAAACTCAGCCCATTTTTTCGGATCCTGAAGGTTTGGTGGAACCTGTGAGAAGATCTTCCCAGTCCATCTGCACACCTGAGGCCTGTGCCCCATGGCTTGCCCACCTCTAGGCTTGTGGGAGTGTCGGGGAGCGCAGGGCAGCAGGACGCAGCACGTGTACATGCAGCAGGAGTAAGCAATGAGGCAGACAGTGCAGGGAATGCAGCCGGGTGTCTAGCTCCGTGACGGGTGAGGAACCAGCCCGCGGGGATACCGTGGCACCCACCACGCTCGCTGGGGTTCCTTGCTGTGCCGAATGGATGGCAAGGGCCCGTGCACTGCAAGCACACCACTGAGACCCCCTCTGCCTCCGTCAATAGCTCAAGCAATTATTTAAACCCTGTTGTAAGCAAAGAAGAAACTGTCCTGAGAGTAGCTGTGATTTTTACGCTGGAATGAATCAGCAAGACCAGGCCCTGAAGGTCTCTGCCAGCTGATGGAGGTGCTACCACCTACACCAGTGCTTTGTGAGAGGGTCTGGCAGCCTTTCTGAAGACCTCTCACCTCTGGTGAGAGCACAGCCTCTCTCTGCTCTGCAACATCCCTCTCTACCAGGACTAGCCAAGCTCAGTCCAAGCACCTCCACTGCACAGGGGTAGTTGGGGCTGCCTGCCTTCGACAGGAGGAGGAAGCAGATGCTGAAGGTATTTCTGGGATTTATTTGCCCAAGGCAAACTGGCAAATTCCTTGCCGTTTCTAGCCCTGCTGTTTGAACCCAGCTCTGTATGGAGACAAGCCATGCAAACTGCTGATGCAGCAAGGGATTTCTTGAAAATAGAGCCTACGTGCAGAGCACGTGATGTATACCCAAACTCAGGAAACCTAAAAGCAGAAACGAAGCCAGGGCATAAAGTCCCAATGTGAAGCAGGAGCAATAGAGCCATTCTGTGCCTGTGCTGCCTCCTCAATGGGACAGTTAGGGCCACAGGGTTGGACAAAGAGACACAAGGAGCAGACATGAAGGATTCAGGAACATTAGCAGAAGCCAGGTCTTCCCAATGGGCCAAGGACTCGGCATGCTGGCCCATCCATTGGGCCTTGGGAAGGCTCTTGCTCACATACACAATGAAGACTGCCTTACTTAGTGGGATAGAAGATGCTGCTGTGTGTGCTGTGTTGCTAGACCCCCAGCTGTTTGCCCGTTGGGTTTGTCTAGCAGATCAACCCCCCACCTTGGTGCATCTTGTATTCCAGTAAATAGGGTGACACGCAGTGTTGCTTTGAGGAGGATGGACAATATGATGCACCGATGAGGACTAAGATACTCCAGAGAAAGAATACCTCCTGTTTGTGCCTGGGGGTTGTTTCCTGCTCCGACTGGCAGCAAGAGAGGATTAAAAGCAACCAGCAGGGTCAATCCAGGGAATTTGTCACAAACATCACAGTCAAGTTGAATCTGGATGCCTAACGTGACCTGGCTGGGCCCCCCTGTCCCCAGTCAGGACTCATAGTAGAGCCCTACTCGTACCAGCATGAATAAGCACAGAAGAACTGAAAACTCTCAGGATGGCAGAAAGGCTGGGGGTTCAAACGGGCTGGGGCACCCTCTGAGCTAGCCTGGGTGGCCAAGGTAGCCCATGGACACAGCAGAGCTGCATGTCCCCAGCGTGTGAGCCTGCTCATGGGCACATTTGTGTGGCATGCCTGGGGGAAGGGCTGCGTGCGGATGTGCCTCTGCAAGGATGCAGGGAGAGCAGAAGGATAGACAGAGACCCAGGCAGCATTCCCTGTGGCCAGGAGCTCTCTGCCTGCACAGCAGTGATGACTGGCACCCTTGGTCTTCCTACATAACAGACTGGGGGCTATTTCCAGGTCCAGCCTGGCCATCTCTGACTGAGGCCAAGCTGTGAGATAGCCTGGAGGGTCCTAAAAAAAACAAGACTTGCTTCAGGAGAGGAGGCAACAGAAAGCAGAACTGAGCCTCTGTCACATTCCCATTCCCATTGGTAATGGTGAGAGAATGGGTCACATCAAGCTGTGTGGTGGAGCACTGGCTCTAGAAGACCATGCCCAGAGGGGATTCTTCCAAACCGCAACCAAAGCTGGGGTTGGGATGCAGCTCCGTGATGTCTGTTTGCTGGCCTCTCACCTGTCCTCTCTCTAGGGACAGCCCAGAGTGGCCCAGGCAAGTCCATGTCAGAAGCCGCCCTGCAAGACAGCCCACCCTTTAGCCTCCAAGGTCATAGGCCATGAGGGCTGTACCTTCAGCTCTTTGATTTTTGTTGGGGTAGTCACTTCCTCGTCTTCTGCCTCGGAACGTCTCCTGCGGCCAAACTCACCGTCCTCATCCTGCTTCTCAGCTTCTGCCCCATCATGATTCTCGCTGACAGAAGCTGGGCGTGAGAATTCTGCACATGCAGAAGAGAGTGCAGGTCACAGTCATGCAAGTCATCATTCCCTGCTCACCCGCCTTCCTCACCCTTCCACCCTCGCACGATGGCTCATGCCGGTTGGTTAAGAGACCCTGAAAGGACCTGCAGCAGGGAAGACAAGTTCTAGGCCTTGCTGACACTGCTGCAGCCCCAAAGCTCAGGCCCTTTCCCCCTTCCTTTGAAGCTTACCCCTTCCACGAGCCTGGCCTCTACGTCCTTCTCCATATCCGTGCACACTCAGGCTGAGCTACCACTCAGTCCCAGTGGAGCTGTCCCATCTCCCCAGCCTGGCCCAGGGCCCAGTCCTGGCTCAGTTGAGCCAGCCACGTCTACATCCCTGCTGCCAACACATGGACACACAAGGCTGGGCCATTCCTTGGGTTGGGGACAGGCCCTCTGCTATGGGGACCCAATCAGGCCGCCTACAAGAGTCACCCCATAGCCTGCAGCAACCCTAATTGCCCCAGGCAGCCCTTTTCCCTGTGGAAACGAGCCAGGACAACGCACAGTGGGTCCTTCACACCAAGGCCAGCTACCCCTCAGCACTGCCCTCGCCCTCGCCGCTGTAGCTGCCCCGCTCCATCCCGCTCCGCGCTGGGGACGCACCTCCGTCCAGGCTGCGGGACATGGTGTACCGTTTGCTGGAGGAGCGCTCGAAGAAGGGCGCTGGCCGGTCAATGAGGGCACTGGCCTGCCGTGTCTGTGCCTGCGTGCGCCCGCTGTAGCGGAACTTGGAGCCCATCACCAAGAAGCCCTTTGGGGGTGGCTCTGGGGACACCAGCCTGGGGACAAGTGAGGCAACATACGTTAGCGAGTCCACGCATGGCACCCAGCTGGCCTTGCCAGCCCTGTCCATGCATGCATACGGACTGCAGTGATACAGGGCAAAGTCCTGGCCTCTCCTCCCAGACAACTTCAAGCAGAGATGAGAGAGGCCATGAGGAAGAGGTGTTTGCCTCAGCAAGGTGCCAATGGGGAAGCAGGGATGAAGGGGGAATTTAGGGTCGTAATCATGAGATGAGGATCTTAAGGCCAAGGTTTTACCAAGCAGAAGAGTTGAGCAGACACCTTCTGCCTTATGGAGCAAAGATGGCTCTGCACATTGAAAATACAGCCTAAAGCCTCCCACTCCACAGGGCAGAGAAGATGTATTGCTGAGATGGGCATAGCTTGCTCCTCTCTGCCCCAAAACAGCAGAGTAGCCATTTCCACAGCAACACGAGGCAGGGGACAGTCCTGGGCATGCAAGGGCACAGAGGGCTGCTCCTACACAGGCTAGGGGTGAGAGGAGGACAGCCAGCTCCCCGCAGGGCTGTGCAGAGGAAGCCCAAGGAAAGCACTGCAGGGTCTCCTATTTCCCCACATGACTAGGCTGAAATAAGCCACAGGTGGCAGGGGGTCTACCTCGGAGGCATGCAGAAGGTGCCCTCACCTGAAGAAGGTGTGATGCTCTATGCAGACCTTCCATAAACGCTTGGCAGAACGGTGGTTGGGGAGCTTGAAGCCAATGGTGCTCTCAAACTGTTCGTACTTGAAGGAGACAGAGACATGCCATTACATGCAGATCCTGCTCTAAAGGACACAATGAGAAGGGACCTCCTCACCAAGGCTCTCAGGTTCCCCTAGCAGGAGCCAAGGCCATGCAATAGTATCTTATTCAAATCAGCACTGAGAAGATCCTTGACCAGCACCACTGGATGAGAAGATCCATTCTTCCACCCACACTTTCAGTCTAAGCACTTTCTGCAACTTTCTGCAATGGCTTTTCACTTCTAGAGACACTCCCTCAATAAATAAATAAAAAAAATTCTTTACATGAGACAGATTTACTCTCTCCCCTTTAGATGTACTTTCTTTGTTTTGCTCTCCTCTACTAAACAACTGATCAGAAATATGCTCTCCATCAGTACATGTGAAAGGAAAAAGAATAAAATTTAAGAGAAAAAGTATTTATAGAAAATTAAAGGAAAATAAAAACACTTCTGAACCCCACTCCCTGCACAATATCCAAGTGCCAAAGGGCCTATAATGCCCAGGGAACTGGGGAGATGTGAGCTGATGATGTGCTCTGGCCAAAGTCACTTTGTCAATGACAAAATGAGAGACTCAACATGAAAACACTTGCTAATAAGCCCCATTTGCCAAAGGAGCTGCTCTTTCTTGGTTAACCATGGCCATTAACTTGGGAACTGCTGGAGCAGAGACTGAAGCAAGGCCAAGACCTCCCTGTCAGGCACAACCCTGCTACAGGAAGTGCAGTAACCTGCCCTGCTCTTGGGCCATGTTGAGCCCACTGCACCCACCTCACCAGGGCGGATCTTGATGTAGAAATTGCTCCTCTTGTAGGAAATTTTCAGGATCTTGGGCCAGGCAAAGCGGTTGATCCTTAGCCTGTCCCTGTAGATGAGGAGGCCATTGGCACAGACGCCCAGCATGATGTCAATGCCCTCCGAATCCTGGAGGAGGGAAGAGAGACAGCTGGAAACCGCTCAGACTCCCAGTAAGGTGCAGTCCTGTCTTCCACCCACCTTCCATTAGGGTGTTGTATTCCCTCCCAGGCCTGATACATGAGACTGGCTGGCAGAGAGCAATGGCACCGCTCAGCTTTTGCACTTATGCTTATGGGGCACCCCTGCTGCACAAAAGGGGCTTCACATTGAGATTTTGTCCACGCTACTGCACTGCCAGTATAAATCCAGCACGGGAGCTCCAGGCAGTACGAAGAGTCACAGACAGGAGGACACTGAGGAGCCCCAGCTGTGCAGGGAGGTGTATGCCAGGGCAGGACAGTGCTCGGTCCCCTGCCATGGCCCTCCCCAGCTCCGCAGCACCAATACCTTGGCATGGTGGAGGTCCACTCCGTACATGGAGAGCTTCTTGGCGTTCTCCAGGAAGTGGATCTCTGCTTCGCCTGGGGTCATGCCCCTGGGCAGAGACAGAGAGAGGAAAATGTGAGCAGGATGTAGACCAACACTCTGGTGCCTTTTCTTGCCACCAGCTGCCAACGCCTGTCCCACATTGCCAGCCCCATGCCTTCCTGGGGCTCACCGGTAGGTCTTGTGCAGCTCCATGATACGCTCCTCCAGCTCCCGAGTCTGGTTAGGGGCAAAGCGGAGCTCACTGACATAGTTGCCCACGTGCTCCTCGGCATCGTAGTCCCCCAGCTCGGCCTGCACGGCGTAGGAGCCCAGCAGGGCGTGTGTGACGAAGGAGCAGGGCAGGCGCCCCGTGATGATGTCCGCACGGAGCTGCAGGCACAGGTAGTATCTGCAAGAGGATGGGCCAGAGGGCAAGAGCAGGTGAAGGCGCTTTCCGGAGAGCCATGCAGAGCTCGCGCTGCCCGGTGAGGAATGCGACAAAGGCGGCACCCCAGCTGGCACTGCCATCACAGGGGCTGCCCCCTCTCACCGCCCACTGCTTCTCGGCCTCTTGTCAGACCTACTCACCCATCACTCTGCATCTCACCTCGTGATGTCCTCCGTGAGCTGGGCAGGGTCAGGAGGGTAAAATTTAACTGTGAAGGCAAAGTTCCAGAGCCCACCTAGCAAGGGGAAAAGAGCGATAAGGCCAATGACATCAGGCATCTCCTTCACTCCTGCTCATGGACAAACAGGAACAGGTCTCCTTGTCCGTCTCTCCATCCTTGCCCACCCTAGGCCAATACCAGGCAGGACAAGGGGACTCCAAACATTTTTGGGAGAACGAAGATGAACCCCTGGGAGGCTGCACAGCTTCCAGCTGCTCTGAACACTCAACCAGTCAGACACCAGCATGTTTTGGTTAATATTCCCTAAACAGCTCAGGAGAGAAAAGCATTAAAGTCTGGGAGCTTTGGCTCAACTCCTTTCATGAAGGAAACCCCATTGTCACAGTAAATGTTCGCATGTTCCAGTGAGATGACACTGTAGGCAATGATCCTCCTGCCACCCCACTACATCATCCACAAGACAATATTGCAAGTAAGGCCCCACTATGCCCCAGTACTTGACCCCGCAAACCCACCCCAATCTATTCCACCATCCTCATCACCCCTGCCCAGGGCTCTGACAGTGGAGACGGGGTCCTTTGCCTCAGAGTCTGGCTCCTCATGGCTGTCAGAAGAACAAGAGGAAAGGTGGGCAGACCCATCCAAGTGCTAACAGGCAGCTCCATGGGGCAACGACAGCCCTGTGCCCAGGGCAGGTGGGGAGGGGACACATCAGAAGAATCCTTCTCCAAGTGACACCAGCCGTCTAATACCAGAGGCACTGGTGGCCCATCTTGGGCCCTGCTCCCAGCGTGGGCTGTGCAGCAGGAAGGGGCACCCTGCCCTTGTCACCATCCTCGCTCCGCGCTCTGCTCCTGGCGCTGATGCCACCTCAGCACCGAAGCTCGCCAGAGCCTCCCCCAAGCTGACCTTCCGACACAGGGATAATTCCCATGGGCTTGTGGAGAAGCCCCATGAAGACAGAGCACTGTGGCTGGGGAGGACTGCACTCCAGGGATGGGTCAGGGACAGAAGTGGGAAGGAGCAAAAAGGGAAGATTTTCCATCACAGCAGCAAAGTCAGCGTGTCGGCCTCGTCTGCAGCCACCATCTTCCAGGCATCCTATACTCAGCCTGCTCCGGGTGGCAGGCTCCAGGCTGCATCTCTACCCGTTTCTCTGAGTTGGTCAGGGATCTGAGGCCACCAAGGGCACAGACCACGGCAAACGGCCGTGAGGGCTCAGCCAAGCTGCAAGGCAGCAAGGGGACCCAGCAGGGAGCCCCAAACCCAGGGAGGAACAACCCTCCTGACCACTTACTGCGGATCTGCTTCTTGATCTCTTTGGAGGGGTCCAGCCAGTTCTGAAACAAGGAGACATCACATTAGGGAGGGTGTGAAGGGCCAAGGACCCGGGAGAGAGCAACCTGCAGGGAGATCCCCTCTCACGCTCACCTTCTGGCTGTCCGAGTCGCAGAACGTAAGGCCAAAGTAGTCCTTCTCCAGGAGGTTGAGGTGCTCACACACCAGGTCAAAGAGAATTTGGCCTCGGGCATGTTTCTGCAGGAGACACAGGCAGACAGTGCAGCAAGGGAGAAGCAGGGCCAGGCTACATGCAGCCTCCATCCATGCTGCTTCAGATGTGGCAGCTCCAGGCAGCAGCCGCTGGGCCCGGGAAACGTCCACCCTCATCTGCCCCTTGTGCCCCATCCCTGTTTCCAGAGCGTGCAGAAGAGCCAGGGAGCTCCGCGGCAGGAGGGCAGCCACTGTGGCCCTCCCTTCCCTCGGGCAGAGCTCAGCCGTGGCCCCTTCTCCACCACGGCTGCGTCCTGCAGAGCCACCCAAGCGCTGGCCCCAGGACCCGTGGAAGGGTTGGATTTGGAATCACCGTGGAAGGGTGATTCCAAAGCAGAGCAGGTGCAGGTGACCCGGGGACCTCCAGAGAGTTGACAAAAACATGCCCCAAAGGCTGCTTCCGGACTGGCAGGGACTCACTGGCTCCTGAAGCATGACAGGGCAAGAGAGAGGCAAAAAGAGCCTGAGCCATGCAGCACGATGCGGAATGCCCTTATCATCCGGTCCTTCAAACGTTCCTGTCCATCTTCCACTCATTACTTCTGGCTGCGAGTCCTGGAGATCCCTTACAGAGATGGAAAAATGGCTTCTTTGCCATGACTGTTTGTTCTGCCTGTGTGCCCACAGCCTTCTGGACCACAGACTTTTAGATCAGGAGCTGCCAATCTTTCTTCTCTGAAGGATCCCATTTCACCAGTAAGCACCCCCTACAAGCGCCCTGCACACTACGGGCCAGGGCACCACTCTCCCATCCAGATCTGAGGCCCTCACTGCCCCAGAGATATCATTCCTGCATCTTTTCCTTCTCACTGAATCAAGATCTGAAGACAGGGTGTCTACACACCACATGTGATGTATATAGGGTCTCCTACTGAATAGTTTCACTCTCTTTTTTGGCTTTTTTGGTTTTTAGGCACTAACATCTTTTCACACAGGTAAGGCAAAACCTCTTTCCATCAGGCCCAAGGCAAAGGAATAACTTCAGCAGAAGCCTTTCTTTGCAAGACTCCTCCTTCTCTCCCCTCGTCACCCCAAATGACTTTTTTTTTTTTTTTTTTTTTTACAGGGGCCAAGCTCCTTGTTAGTTAATGCTATTCCATGCTTTATCCCCCATGCTTTAAACTGCAACAACAGCGAGCTTGGCTTTACAGCCAACACAGCACCACACGTCCCAGTTTGGTGCCAACCTCATGCCCTGGAAACAAAGCCAGACTAGAAACAAAGCCTGACAGGAGCTAGGACAGCCACACGCTGCTTTTCCTAAGCTCCCCAAGGAGCATTGTTGTGCTAACGAAGCAGCAGGCACTTCTACAGCTTGCATTTCGGTCTGCATGTGGGTTTTGCTTGGCAAACCTTAATGGGAGATTTGGGGGAAGGACAGCAAAACCGCGTGCTGTGCCAAGGCCAAGGGACATGGGTCTTTCTGGCCTGCGAGCTCATTTGAGTCACTATAGTGATGTGCTGCATTTATTGCTCGAGAGGGCTTTCATTCTGGTGACTATCCGTCTTTCCACAGTCACTAAAGCTCTTTGTGAAAAGTTTCCCTGTCAAAGCAACAGCCAGGGCCAGAGGAGCACCGGGATCAAAGGGCCTGCTCCCAGGACGCAGAGCCAAGGAACAGAGCTCCTGACTACCAGCTGCCCTGGGGCACTCGCTATTCCCATGCAGCCACGGCGAGCGCACGGCCACGCTTCTCATGTCCATTAATCCCGTGCAGCCGAAACCTCGGAGAGCCGGGACCTGCATACAGATCCAGGTCTGCTCTGCGCAGACAGCTCCTAGACCACTGCTGTTTCCATTTGGGAACAATAATCCTTTCACCTTGTCACCAGTGGCAATTGCAAAGGTCTCCCTGGAAAAGGCACAGGGATTTCTGCTTACCAAGAGTCTCGGCTTTGGATTTTCTAAAGCAAAGTTCCTAATCCTCCAAACTGCCAAGATGGCCCTCCCAGTACCAACATGACCCAGGTCAAAAAGAGGCTGTCTGGCTGAGTCTGCGGGTAGGAGACAGCAACAAGGGCTGGCGCAGAGACTGGCATTCTCAGCAAACCCACCTCTCACCCTAGCTGGCTCTCTCACTTACCTGGCTCATCAAGTCACCCTGCCATCCCACTCCAGCTCCGAATCCAGCCTTGGATTAATCCTTGCTTTCCCTTGATCCCTGCTTGGCAATGCTCACATGCAGCCTCCATGTTCGCCAGTGCACGTGCTTCACAGACACTCGCAACGTGGCGCACGGACTGTGCCCACGCGCCGAGCGCCGCGGCTGAGCCCGCCACGCGCGCAGGGAGATGCATCTGCGGCTACACACGTACAGGTACACCCCTGTTCACCCACACACACACACGGGCACCCTGCTGCACACCTCACCCACCGGTCCTGGCTAGCCAGATTTATGGGAGACACAGGCAGGAGGGCAGGATGGAAACAGGGAGGATGCAGCGAGTGCCAAAATGCGTGCGGATCTGCGCGTGGCCGCACACAAACACGTCTGTGCCTGTCCCTGGCCGCGTGTGTTGAGGCGCTCTGTGCACGCCGGCAGCCTCACACAAACACAGGCGCACACATCTTCTGCCTTGGCACGCAGGACAGCAAACATGCTGCGCTCTCGGGGCGTCAGCGGATACACTGGCACACACAGAAATGTGTCATGCACATATTTTTAGGCAGAGATCTATCCTCCACCTATCTTCCACTTTTTAAATGTTTTTTTACTATAGATAGGGTCTAGGCTGAAAATCCCTGCTAGGCTCTGTCTTTCCAGCTTTTTTTTTAAGTATAACTTAAATAGACATTTCTGTGTATGAAGCTTGCAAACGGAGAATCGTTTTCTCTATATTAGATAGCCTCTTCTCTGGTCCAAACCAGCGAGCCTCCCCAGTGATGTGCTGATGATGAAGGATGCCAAAGGGGACAACGGCCCTTGCCTCTTGGCAGAGGAAAGGACAAGCATCTCTGAGCCCCCAGTGCGAGACTTACCTCCACTTCGCACTCATACTCAGAGGCATCGAGCAGGGTCACTCTGCAGAGGGCACTCTTGACCTTCTTGCTGATTTTTTGGGGCGATTTCTGGGTCTTGCTGGGTGTTGTTTTATCTGAGAGCCCATCCGTTTCACTGTAATCCTTCTCCTCCGTTTCTGTGCCCTGGAAGACAAGAGGCACATGCCGTCACCCTGCACCCACTGCCAGGGTAGGGGTTGGGGGGAACTTGAGGACTGGCAGCCAAGCAGGGGCACCTGCTCCCAACAGCTGAGAGCAGAAAATCACCCACTCCTTCTGCCCCTCAGGGATATGGGAAAGGGAAAAGGGCTACGGATCCTGCTCCACGGGCTTTACCCCATCAGTCATGCAAGCACAGGCCCTATGGATTCAGGAAAGAAGCCCTCTCCTTGGCAATGCAGGAGACCAAGGAGCTGTGGTGGTTTGTGAGCACACGGTATCACTGTCACATGGCGAAGCAGGAGGAGAGAGGAGGTTCTGTGGGCTGGAGAGGTCGTCAGGGTTATGTAGAGCCCACCCTGCCTTTAGCAGACAGACAGGGTCATTGTGAAAACAATGTCACTCATGAGCTTAGTGTCAGTTCAGCACCTGAGACCACCCTGCTAACCTGTCTTGCCCAGCAAACAAGGACAAGGCATTCCCTCGGCAGGATGGAGCTCAGTCTCCCCTGCTTGGCTGGCTGGTCCGAGGTAAAGCAGCTGGTTGCAGTTCTGCTAGGGCTGGCTGGTTTCTGAGGCGTTCAGCTACCCATTTCCCTCTCCCTCCTTAGGCTTGGATGCTGTGGCGGTGCCGTTTTGAGCACAATCAAAGCATTAGGCTTTGGTCTCCAGCACGCTTGCTTTTTTAACCCGTCCTCCTGCTTCCCAAGTGCCACCACCTTGTAAAGACTTGGGCAACGAGCTGTGAGGTAGCCAGGCTAAAGGAACAGCTGGCAGAACTTATTTGCAGCAGCGATCTGATGGGGTTAGTCTCTTGAAAGTGCTCCTAGGAGTTGTTGTAGGGCCTGAAGCGTAGGACAGACTCCCTGCAACACCTGCATGGGAGCGAGGACACCTCACCTACATCTGCCGTGTCCAGAAGGCCTCTTGCATGTACGCATGGGCTGCACGCAAAGAC